AAAAAAAAAAAAGGAGAGGGCCCATGTCATAATTGATGGAAGATGGCAGTAATATTTCCCTCAGTAGTTTGTTGTCAGCATGGAAGGGGATTATAGGATTACATATGCCAGTGGCTGATGTAAAGGAGGCTGCCATTGGTGTTCTCTCAAATGGGGGAGCCAGGACCTGTTGGAAGACCTGGGGAGGGTTTTTGGAAGAAAGAGGTAGCATTGGCTTGGGGCTTTGTAGAGTAAATAGGATTTGGATGTGTGAGCAGAAATCAACGATGGAGTGGGGATTATCCTGAAGTAGGAGATGGAACTGCTGGAAGGAAAGTAAGGGGGGCAGGAAAGACATTATTGCTTTTTGCTATTAAAGGAGCATCCTGGGGTTTTCATAACAGCTGTACATATGGGTTCTTATGTCTGTCACCTCAGTTAGAATTTATAGACTTCCTTGAGGGCTTGAACCCAGTATCCCCAGCACCTAACACTGCTATTTAGTGTAAATGTTTGTTGAATGAATCAATGTGTTGTTAGCCTGTTTAGTTGTGTCTGACTTTGGAGAGTAGCCTATTCCTTTTCATGGTAAAATCTTTACATAGCAGTTGCTTTTCCCTCTTTGGTTTTCACCTTTTAAAAAGTGGTTCCGAGGGGCGCCTGGGTGGCTCAGTCGTTAAGTGTCTGCCTTCGGCTCAGGTGGTGATCCCAGGGTCCTGGGATTGAGCCCCGCATCAGGCTCCCTGCTCCGTGAGAAGCCTGCTTCTCCCTCTCCACTCCCCCTGCTTGTGTTCCCTCTCTCGCTGTGTCTCTCTCTCTCAAATAAATAAATAAAATCTTAAAAAAAAAAAAAAGTGGTTTCCTAATCACTGTTGGTCTTGCTGCTAGGTGATTTGATGGATTTGAGGCCAGACTGGTTCCTGGGTCTCCCTTCAGCCTCCTTGTGCCTGAAATTCTACTGCTGTTGAATATTAACTGGTTAGTCAGTGGGTTCTGTCCTTGAACGGACATTTAAAATGTGAATATTGGGGCGCCTGGGTGGCTCAGACGGTTAAGCGGCTGCCTTCGGCTCAGGTCATGATCCCAGAGTCCTGGGATCGAGCCCCGCATCGGGCTCCCTGCTCAGCAGAGAGCCTGCTTCTCCCTTTCTCTCTGCCTGCCGCTCTGCCTACTTGTGCTCTCTACCTCTCTGTCAAATAAATAAATAAAAAATATCTTTAAAAAAAATGTGAATATTTTGGGTGCATTTAACAGGTATTTATTGAGCATCTACTATGTGCTAGGCAGTTGTGCCAGGAGCAGAAGATAAGCAATGACAAGACAGAGAAGAATCCCCCCTCACGGAGCTTACGTACTAATGCCTGAAAGATGTAGTGGGACAGAAAGCCGGCAAGAGCCTGCTACGGGCCCATAGAGCTTTAAATCATTAAAAGCACTTGACCTTTGGGGCACCTGGGTGGCTCAGTTGCTTAAGCAGCTGCCTTCAGCTCAGATCATGATTCCAGGGTCCTGGGAGCCTGCTTCTTCCCTGCCTGCCGTTGCCCCTGCTTGGGCTTGCTCTCTGTCTCTCTCTTTCTCAGTCTGGTTCTTTCAGTGTCAAATAAATGAATAAAACCTTTAAAAAAATAAAAAGTAAAAAAAAAAAATAAAAGCACTTGACCTTTGATTAATTTCATGATTGTAGGATGATAAACATGTAAAGGCATGTGGTGGTGCTTGCTGTGGGTTTAATTTACAAATTGGGAATGTTGGCTTGGATACGCTTTCATGAGGCTAATGTGTTTATTTTTTGTTAATATTTTCAGAAGATGAATTGAATCTTCTAGTTATTGTAGTTGATACCAACCCAATTTGGTGGGGAAAGCAAGCATTAAAGGAATCTCAGGTAAGATTGCTTGAGGAGGACTGTGGATAATTCTGGTTTAACTGTGTGTTTAGGGCGCCTGGGTGGCTCAGTCGGTTAAGCGACTGCCTTCGGCTCAGGTCATGATCCTGGAGTCCTGGGATCGAGTCCTGCATCGGGCTCCCTGCTCAGCGAGGAGCCTGCTTCTCCCTCTGACCCTCCCCGCTCTCATGTACTATCTCTCTCTCTCTCTCATTCTCACTCTCTCAAAGTGAATAAATAAATCTTAAAAAAAACAAAACAAAACTGTGTGTTTATATTGCTTTTTTAAAAATCAGCTTCGTTAAAAAAAAATCACCTTTATTAAGGCATATTTTACATACCATAAAATTCATCCTTTATAATGTACAATTCAATGCTTCTTTAGTAAAAATCACAATAAAAGAGTGTAACCATCACTGTAATTTCATTTTACTTATTTTTTTTTATTTTTTTGTGTTTAAGAATCATTTAATTGAAACTCAGAGTACACTTTTGTAAAGAATAATCAGAGAAACCACCCATGATGGAGAAACAATGAAATATTCAGGGTAAAACTACATTT